CAAGCAAAACATTGGTAACACACTACGCCGCAATGGACTGAAATCCTGCAGCACCCGCAAGGTCCCCCTGCTCAAGAAGGCAAATGTACAGGCCCATTTAAAGTTTGCCAAAGAACATCAAAATGATCCAGAGAAGGCTTGGGAGAAAGTGCTGTGGTCAGGTGAGACCAAAATTGAGCTCTTTGGCATTAACTCAACTCGCCGTGTTTGGAGGGAGAGAAATGCTGACTATGACCCCAAGAACACCATACCTACAGTCAAGCACGGAGGTGGAAACATTATGCTGTGGGGCTGTTTTTCTGCTAAGAGTACAGGACGACTTCACCGCATTGAGGGGCAAATAGACGGGGCCATGTACTGTAAAATCTTGGATGAGAACCTCCTTCCCTCAGCCAGAACACTGAAGGTGGGTCATGGATGGGTCTTCCAGCATGACAATGACCCGAAACATACCGCCAAGGCAACAAAGGAGTGGCTCAAGAAGAAGCACATTAAGATCATGGAGTGGCCTAGCAAGTCTCCAGACCTCAATACTATAGAAAATCTGTGGAGGGAGCTGAAACTTCGAGTTGCCTTAAAGAAACCTTAAGGATTTAGAGAGGATTTGTAAAGAGGAGTAAATCAAAATCCCTCCTGAGATGTGTGCAAACCTGGTGACCAACTACAAAAAATGTCTTACCTCTGTGCTTGCCAACAAGGGTTTCTGCACCAAGTACTAAGTCACGTTTTGCTTTGGGATCAAATACTTATTTCACTCACTGAAATGCAAATCAATTTCTAACCTTTATATAATGTGTTTTTTTCTGGATTTTTTGGTTGGTATTCTGTCTCTATACGTTAAAATAAACCTACCATAAAAATTACAGACCCTTCATTTCTTTGTAAGTGGGCAAACGTACAAAATCAGCAGGAGATCAAATCAATATTTCCCCCACTGTATCCCCACTTCTGTAAGCATCCTCTTTGGCATGACGAAGCTGTTTGAATTTCCAAGTAAACCATGGTTTATCATTATTGAATGATAAGAATGTCCTGGTAGGGATGCACATATCCTCACAGAAACTGATATAAGTTACAGTGTCTGTGAGCTCGTCCAGATCAGTGGCTGCAGCTTAAAAAACACTCCAGTCAGTGCAGTCCTTAGTACAGGTTTAACTGATTTCAGTTTCTGCCTGTTGGTATAAGATGAACTAGACAGTGATCAGAGAGCCCCAAAGCTGCCCATGGGACAGAGTGATATACATCCTTTATTGTGGTGTAACAGTGATCTGATCAGTGATCTATATTACTGTCTGGTGGGACATTTGTGCGCTGCATTTAACCCATCCAAGTGCACACACACAGTAGTGAACACACACACACTGTGAACACACACCCGGAGCAGTGGGCAGCCATATTGCTGCGGCACCCAGGGAGCAGTTGGGGGTTCGGTACCTTGCTCAAGGGTCTTACCTCAGTTGTGGTTTTGAAGGTGGAAGAGAGCAGTGGTTATTCACTCCCCCACCGACAATTCCTGCCGGACCCGAGACTCGAGCCTGCAACCTTCAGGTTACAAGTCCGACTCTAACCATTAGGCCACGACTGCCCCTCAATGTAATGCGCTGTTTGTATTTTGTATTTTCTGTTTGTATTTTGGCAGTTCACGGGAAAGATTTGATTTGTTAAAATCTTCAAGAATGATTAAAAGAGAGTCTGGGTACTGTTGCTCCATTTCAGTTATTTGTTCAGCCAGCTGTTTCTGGCTTGAGTCATGAGCTGAAGGACACTTGAGTCATGAGCTGAAGGTGCACATTTGTACAATTACAATACTAAAATAACTTTTACTTGCTAAAAAGTATGAACTATTAATCACATGACAGAATGAATGTGGTAGATTGTGTGCAACAGTTTTATCAACAAAGTTTTGATCATGCCAATAATTTAGATATTTAGAGATTTGTGTATCAAAAACGATACAGAAGGATTTATAGGGTTAAATGGCCAAACTGTGCATTTCTTGGGTGAATATTAATATATTTGACCAAGCCCTCTGAATTCAAAATTTAAACCACACAGTAAAATGTGCAATTTGTTAAATGATTAATGTGATTTTGACTTTATCGCATCTGTGACCATTATTCATGTGCTTGACTGGCAGGTGTGTTTATCACAAAGGGAGATGTTGGCGTCGGTACCATTGTTGGGTCAGCTGTCTTCAACATACTGGTCATAATTGGAGTGTGTGGCATCTTTGCCCGTCAGGTAGACATTATCTATCTATCTATCTATCTATCTGTCTATCTGTCTGTCTGTCTATCTATCTATCTATCTATCTATATCTATCTGTCTATCAAAGTATCAAAGGAGGTAAATAGTATTAATGATAAGAGTTAGTTTAAAAGAGTTAGTTTAGCCTTTTTTCATTGGAATCACATTGAACACCTGAAATACGCATTTTGCCACAGTTTCTTGTGTGTCTTTTGTCCATTTCTGCCCTAGACGGTGGTCCTGACCTGGTGGTCTCTGTTCAGAGACTCGCTGTACTACATCTTCTCAGTGCTGGCCTTGATTTTGGTGAGTATGTTTGACTGTACATATGAGAGAGGACAAAAGAGAGAGGGAAATAGTATAATGCAGTTTCTCCTCTGTTTTATTAAGGTATGAACATGGCCCCAATAATGACTCCCAGCGCTAGTCTCTAGATTTCCTTCAGTAGAGTTTTAATTCAAATTATACATGACGACTTCATCAGCAATTAACATTCATTTAACCCCTTCAATGTCTCATTTTATCCAGGTTATTTATGATGAAAGAGTTGTATGGTAAGTCGCGCCACTGTGTGTTTCCTCTACACCCATGTCCACATGTTCAAGCAGATGAGAAACATTGTATTATATTTGCAGAGGTATTACAGTACTGTAATTATTTAGAAACATTAGGAAGTTAATATGTTTGACGAATTGCTTTTTTGATGAAGTGTCTGCTAAATGCATGGATGTAATGTAAATGTGAGTTGTATTATTGATCTTTGTGTCCATTAATGCATTGTTATAGGTGGGAATCAGTGCTTCTGATCTCCATGTATGGAGTCTACATCCTTATCATGAAGTGAGTATCATGCTGTTTTCATAATCCCATAAAAGCGATGATGGGAGTGGAAAATTCTGCAGTTGATCTTATGACAATGCACACATTAAAGAATGCAGACACAGCCAGATCTCTTCCATAATGACCATCGGAATCTACTAAGAACAGCACAAATTAGCATCTGGTTTAAGACATGCTTTTTTGGGCATTTAATTATGGCACAAATGCCAGTAAATTGACTACCGCAAATATTAGTAAATCATGCTGCGTGATTCATTTGAATACTCTCCTCCCATAAATTTTGCATCCGAAGGGGAAACTCCTTCAAAAGCATATGCAATAAGGTCAGTCGCAACAATAACTGTTCACACCTTTTTAGCACTAATTTTTCACCGAATCCTGATAGTAGTTTTTTAAGTACACTTTTACAAAGTGCACTTTGTAATGATGTCAAATTAAAAGTTTGTTAAATTTAAAAGACAATAGAAATAATCATGAAATTGCGTATATTGATGTACTTAAGTCCTAATTAAGTGGGCATTTAATATAAATTTAATCTACAGTACATTTCCATTTAATTAAGTGTTCAAAAACATTACATTCAGTTTGCACTTCCAAAGTATGTTATAATAAGTACACTTATTAAAAGTATGCAAAACTGTACTTTTTCACAAGATATTTAAAAACATAAATGCAAAACGCAAAAAATATTGTTATTTATTAATACTTATTAATAATGAAGTACTATTACAAAAATACTTAACAGGAGAGAACCTATGATACAATCATAAAAAAAGACAGCTGTTGAGTCAGTTTTATTAGCATAGCACTTTTTTAACAATAAATACTGTGTTTCAAAGAAGTGTTGCTGAAACTTGTGCCTGAAAACTGCCTGAATGCTAATGTGTTAAGGAAAAACTCCCTAGATGGTTACGTTTGAGAGGAAGAAACCTTGGGAGCAACCAGGAAAATTGTACAACAAACAATCATAAAATTAATACGAATAAAATGAATGTCTTTTTCTGGAGGTTTTGCTCTAAATTTTAAATGAAAATAAAATTCGAAGCGTTTGCAACTCATCCTCGAGGTCTAATAACAACAGATAATCACAAAAAAATTAAATTACACTTAAAAAAATTAATACTTAAGTCTTTTTCTGGGATGAATATTAAGTTTGAAGAGTTTGCAACTCATTTTAAAGATCAAATAATAGCCCACACCCCGAAATGTCTTGAAGCTATACATTTACACAGACCTCCCTGTTGCTTCAATCATATCCGTTTGCTAGCTTCTCTTCTCTTTATTGCTCTGGAATTGCAAATGCATGACACCTCTTGCATGTGTATGAGAGAGAGGAGCATGTTGCATTTGTTTGGAAAGGAGAGCTGATGAGTACGAGTGTTGTAGAGACAACATAGATCCTAGAGAGATAAGGATCTGCTACATGACAACAACCTTCATTAAGCACCTTTTAAGGCCATTAGGGGAGGCTTGAGCTCTTCAAGCCTCAGATAAACATCCCTCCTCTCTGTTTGGTTGGAGGAGGGAAGCTGAAGCATGTTTTGTCACAGAGATGTTGATAATTCAAGATAGTACATATTTATTCCATACAGATACAACAGCCCTGTTGAAAAGATGAAGAATATGTTGTGTTTTGGATGCTGGTGTGCTTTATGTTGCCAGCAGATGCCTTCAAAAGAAACAGCGACTCAAAAACCCTTGGAGAAACTTTCGAAGTTTATATAAGTCAACTGTGAAACTGCAGAATGTATAATAATTGAATAACACCCATTTACTGCCATTATAAAGCTGGGAAGAGCCAGGACATTCTTAAATATAACTCTGATTGTATTCGTCTGAAAGAAGAAAGTCATATACACCTAGGATGGCTTGAGGGTGAGTAAATCATGGGGTATTTTTCATTTTTTGGTGAACTATCTCTTTAATTTCATTTTGTAGGTTTAACAGTCAGATTGCCAGCTTTGTTCAGAGATCATGTGGCAGTCCGGGTCAATGTTGTGTCAGGAGACAAACGTCCAGAGATAAAGAGGCTGATGAAGTGGGAACAAACGGCAACACCTCCATGGTGCTGTTGAGGAAAGGTACATGCATGCATGTATGTTTTGCATTGCTTTTGTTTTGCATGAAATGCATTGCTTCTCGTAACATGCATATCCAGTATAGAATCTGGGTCCTGAAGCAGAAGCTATTTTTACTTGTATCTGTTGTCAGCTCCAGCAGGTTCGCCGCAGGAGTCACCAGTAGTGATGGTGGATGAGCTGCTCATCTTAAGGCCACACCAGCTCTCATTCCCAGAGGCTGGACTGCGTGTCATGATCACACCACATTTCTCTCCACGCACCCGTCTCACTATGGCTGGACGCATGCTCATCAGTGAGGTGAACTCCAACATCACTCTTTTATTTTATTTAATAATTTTTTTTGTTACCTAATACAGAGTATGTCCTTTGAATTCCGATTCAATTCCTGTATTTGAATTGAGGTAGTAAAGAGGATGCATGATTATATTTGTATTATTTGAAATGAAAATTAATATTATGGAAATGATTATTAAAATGGAATGAAAAAGAAAGAAATTAATGTAAATGGTTCATACAAGTGTAGTTTTTAATATATTTTTCAGTAGAAATAAATTGGATATGGAATATGTCTGGAATTTGTAATAGTCATAAATATTTAGAAAAATGTTTAGAAATTTATATTTAATACACAAATGTTGTGGGGGGAAAAGTTCAAATTTGCTCACTATTGAACTGTAGTAGAAGTTGTAAATAAATCAAACATGTTTTATGAGAAAATACTTATATTCTAGCCTTTCTACTTCATAATGTCATGTTTAATTCAATGTTACTTGCTGTTTCTTTATAGGCTAATTAATTGTGAAAGTTACTAGCAAGTGAATTATTATTTTTTTGAGTGTAGTAATAAAATTGATTGTTTTTATTAATTATATACACACATATTTTAGAGTTATATAAAACTTTGTTTTCAGTTGTAAAAAAAATAATGTGGTAGACCGTAGATATTTGTGGTGCTGGTTTACAAAATCACTATTTAACTTGATGGATGTTTTGATAGTACTGAAGACAAATATGTCTGATAAGTTATTTTTATTATGCATATCACATGTTCTATATATCAGGAAATAAATAGAACGGTTTATCAAAATTTATGTAGTTTTTTGTCACACTGTAAAAAAAAAAATTTAAGTTATGAATAAAAAAAGATTATTGGAACATGTTTTACAAGAAAATACAATTTCATTTTTAAAAATGTATATTAGTTAAAATGTTAAATGGTGTTTCTTTGTAATTATTTGAGATTTACAAGCAATTTCTTGGTGCAATTTTTTTTCATTATAAATTACCCCAATTGATAAATTGAAAAGGGAGTCAATTCTTGAATTCAGAATCTTGTCTAACCCTGAATGATGCAACTGGCACTGACACTAATGACACACCAAAATGTCAGTTCCTCTCTTTTCCTTTGCTCTGCTCAGAGACAGAGACTGCTCCAGGAGAATAAGATGAGCAGGACCTCAGGGAAGACATTCGGTTCTAGAGGGATAGTAAACGGAGGAAGTGTTGAAGCACAGCAGACACCTGAGGACACAGAAATGACGGATAGTAAGAAAGGAGCGAAGGTGGAGGTGGAAAACTCTCAGCCTGAGGAAGAGGATGAGGACGGGGACGAAATGTTCAAACCTCTCCATATTCCTGGTTAGTGCACGAAACCAGATCGAATGCAAATTATTAGTATTAAAACATGTATGCACCAATTGCGTCGCAAAATGATTCACTGTTTCGAAGCGCTCGAAACACCACACGCTGGTGACGCCTGCTGGTCAAAACTGTGTAAATGCAACAAAAACTAAACATGCCAAAACATGCATAAAAACAGCTTTTACAAACCCAGTGCAAATGCTTTCTTGAAACTATAATATATTAAATGCAATCAAAATAATAAAATACCATTAAAAATGAAGTGTCTGTAAAATATGCGTCTTTAAAATAATTATTATTAATTTGCAAGGGCTTGTTTTGTTTGTTTTATGGAGAGCTTGTCTAAACAGGCCAGTAAGAGACTATTAACTACTACTCATCCTTTTAATTACACAAATGTCTCATTAAAAATGTCTACAAATTGATCAAACTGATCCGAGATCGTATAACCATAGACGCTGATGCAGTGGTTCGCCGCTCGCATGATTCACGGGTTCACAGAGATCGCCCCCCTAAGGCGAACTATTAAAATGTAGAAACGTTTTTGAAACAGTTATGACGTAACGAAGCGTCGTTTACTGAAATCACGTGACGTTGGCATTTTGACACGCGCTCCGAACCACTGTTTCGAAACAACTGATTCGCAAAGGTTTCGAAGCTTCATGAAGCAGTGTTTCAAAAGCGGCCATCACTAGATTCTTCAGCAGAACAGATTTGGAGAAATGTAGGAATGTGGATGCTCTGCAGTGAATGGGTGCCGTCAGAACGAGAGTCCAAACAGCTGATAAAAACATCACAATAATCCACAAGTAATCCACACCACTCCAGTGCATCAATTAATGTCTCGTGAAGCGAAAAGCTGCCTGTTTATAAGAAACAAATCCATCATTAAGATGTTTTTTTTTTTTTTTTTAAACTGTACCTTTCGGCTAAAAAATTAGTCTATAATCCATAATATTGCTTTCTCCAGTGAAGTCATCTCGTCTCAATCAGGAGAGAAATCTGCACAGATCAACCACCGTTTACAAGCCAAAACAGTCCAAAACAGCTCTAAATAAATATGTGGGTGGATTTTGATGTGAGAGACAACAGGAGATGGACTTTTTCACTGGAGGAAGCATCATTATGGATTATGGACTCATATTTTAGCGGAAAGTAACAGTTTAAAGTTAAAAATGTCTTAACGATGGATTTGTTTCTTAAACACACAGCTTTTGGCTTTACGAGACGTTAATTGATGGACTGGAGTGGGGTGGATTACTTTTTGGGTGAACTATTCCTTTAAGATAGGACAATTATTGTCCATCACAGTAAATAATTGTGTATATACATACATACAGTACATACATACATGCATATATTTTTTTTTCTTCCAAAAAAATGTATTCAGAAGTAATCAAAATAGTACTTTGAAAATGTTCTTTGGTTATTTAGTCTCTGTGTCTTGTGTGCATTAGCTGGCTACTGTGCGCGTCTGAAGTGGCTTGTGTCCTGGCCGCTGGCTGTTCTGCTGTATTACACAGTGCCTAACTGTGTTTTGCCGCGTTGGCATCGCTGGTTCATGATCACCTTCATTGCATCAACCCTCTGGATTGCTATTTTTTCCTACCTCATGGTGTGGATGGTAAGAAAAAGATGAAAAATAGACACTCTTATTAAATCTAGCAGTCTTTACTATTCATTCTATGAGTTGGTCGATTATGCTGATTTGTGTCATTATCTGGTGTGTTTTGCAGGTCACCATCATCAGCTACACACTCGGTATTCCTGATTACATCATGGGAATCACTTTCCTGGCTGCTGGCACTAGTGTACCCGACTGCATGGCGAGCCTCATCGTCGCCCGCCAAGGTGTGTAACCTTTACATGCACAGAAAAATGTTTGTATGCATGCTTTTATCTTTAAGATCATTTTATATAAAATCTTGAAGTTTGAAGGTTTTAAATTTGAAATTGTTTTAAGTATAAAGTAGTTTTAAACGCTAGAATTTTGAAGGTTTTAAGGCCATATAGTCTAATATAGATAGATAGATAGATAATGGTTGCTAGGATTTTGCTATGTGGTTGCTAGGGAGTTGCTATGCAGTTGCTAGGGTGTTCTGGGTGGCTGCTAGGTTGCTGCTTGGGTTTTGGACCACCATTAGGAGGTTATGGATGGTTGCTAGAGTGTTGCTTTGCAATTGCTAGCATGTTTTATCATGCGGTTAGCTTGTCTCATGTTGTTAGCATTGTTTAGCTTGTTTTAGCACATTGCTGGAATGCTTTGCAACATTTTAGCATTTCAATAGCATATTTTAGCATGTTTGTGGCATGATTTAGCATTCTGATAGCATATTTTAACGTTGCTAACATGTTACTAGCATGTTTTAACACATTGCTAGCACGTTTAAGCATGTTTCGGTATGTTGTTTTAGCATGTTATTTGTAAAATACATTACACTCTCATCGTATTTTGTGTCTCAGGAATGGGGGACATGGCAGTGTCAAACTCCATTGGCAGCAATATCTTTGACATCCTGCTGGGACTGGGCTTCCCCTGGGCTCTGAGGACGCTAGTAGTAGACCATGGATCAGCAGTGAGTGTTTGATTTATTTTACTGTTCGTGCAGTGCAGATGTGTTTCCGCTGATGCTTTCCTCTGACCGCTCTGTGTCTTTTGTCAGATATTCATCAATAATAAAGGCCTGGTCTATTCGGTCATCCTGCTGCTCGCATCAGTCTTCCTCACGGTGAGTAATGCCTTAATCACAACATACAAGAACACACAGAGGGTTTGGGGTTCCAGAATTGTTAAGACTTTGCACCGCCACGGATCTCACAGGCTTAATTGGCAAATTCGTTTTAAAATATAAAAATATTCTATAAAAGAAAGACGAATAGTTCATAGAAATCTACACTGAGCTCATCTCACATGATGGACCACTGCTCTACAGCAGGGTTGGTGAGGGAACTGCAGAGGGTTCATGAGTTGATGAAAAGCTAATAATTAATTCAGTTTAATTTAAAAATAAAATAAATAAATGAGGCTACGCAATTTCCAATATTTCTCTGAACAGACGTTCACTGAATTTATAAATAATTGTAATATGAAGTTGTGTAAAGCCCTGTGTATAAATAATAAAATAAAATAAAACTTTTACTGAACATTAAAAAAATAATAAAACTTGTATACACAAACTGTTTATCACCATCACATATTTGGAAAAAATAAAAAAAACATATTTGAACAAGAATGTCATCATTGAAATTTTAATGTAGAAATGTAGACAGTGTAATTTAGAAAGTATAGTGTAATTCATTTAAAAATGATCAGTAAAAATTAAATATTTCAATATTATATTAATTTAACTATTATATTAATTAAATATAAAATATAATTTTAAATATATATAAAATTAGATATATAAACAATTAACATGAATATAAATGTATGTATACTATTTACAGATCTCGTGTGGTATTAAGGTAAGCTGTCAAACATTTTGAACACATTTCAGCCATCTATCCTAACAATCTTTTATCTTTATCCATATTAGTACAGAATAAGTCGTAGTGACGTGCACATTTTACTAGGCTATTTGCAGTGACAGAACTAACATCTGTAACAAATCTCGCCTCATGCTGATGACGGCAATCGCTAGTGAAACTGTTGACCTGCCATTTATAAACATTAGCCCTAAAATTATAATGTAATATTAATCAGATTACTCATGTTCCACTCAGTCGAATCTATAAAACATGTTTCAATATGCCAGTAGGAAAACATGCATCACCATCTTCTGTCGGAAATGGGAAATGCATCCCGTCTGACCAGACACAGGAATAAAAATGAATGACCAGAAAGTGGGATTTTAAAAGCAGAGGCACCGAAATCCCCCAATCGCACCGTTTACACACATACACAATGCTGTTAGTGTCCATGTTGACTGTCTGTCTGTCTGTGTGTGTGTGTATTTGTGTTGTAGGTCCTGAGTGTGCATCTAAACGGCTGGAAGCTGGATCGGAAACTAGGTCTTGGTCTCATGCTCCTTTACTCCATCTTTCTGCTCTGCTCCATCCTCTTCGGTCAGCTCTAGAGGCGCTGACACACTCTTCAGTGCGTTCTTGTTTTGGTTTCATTTTTATAGTGTTTTTACTGTAGATCAGGTACTAAATCTTGACTGATTTCATGGCTGCGTACAGTGTAGCAGCAAGAGGAAATTTTGTGCTCTGCAGAAACAACCTCAGCATGGTTTTCAAGATCCGGTCAGTTGTTTGTTCTGACCACAGCAGGAACGGTTTTTGAATGCCTAATTAAGCACTGCTTCAAGCTGGAAGGTTTACTGTATAATATAATGATTTCTGTCTTCAGTCGACCCAGGATGCTGACAACTTCCAGAAACACTAAAGTTACAATCAGGCACTGTTTACCTGCTTATGACTTCAGTAATTCTTCTTGGGAGTGTTTTACCCTTGTAAAAAAGAAGTACATTTTTAGCATACTTAATTTAAAGAATACGTGTTATGGACATAACATACTTTAAATGAATATACTTAAGTGTGAACTGAATGTAATATTTTCAGACACTTAATTGCATGTTCTTTGCAATTAATGAAATTGTGTTATAGTTTAAATGTATATTAAATGCAATTAGTTGAACTTAGGAGTGTTTTTTGACCCACTTAAGTAGGACTTAAGTACACCTTTATATGTAATTGTATAATTACTTCTGTTGTTTTTGAAATATTGTTGAATTGTAAAGTATTTAAATATATTTCTAATTACATATTTGTAATGATGAAGTTGGAATCTAGTACATTTAAAATATATTAACTTTGAATGCGATATTGAATAACAATACAGTTAAAATTATAATCAAGTACTTTACATGTGCTTCAGTATGTTAGTCAACACATCAAAAGTGTACTTCTTTAAAACATGACAAAAGATTATTAAAACAATGATTTAAAAGTAAATTTGACATTATTAGTGTATTTTTTAAAAGTGTACTTAAGTGTGTTTTCTCTCTTTAAGTCACTTAAGTGGCCTTGCATGTCATTACTATTATATGCAGTTTTTAAAAAAATATTCTTTTAAGATTTGAAGTACACTACAAGTGCACATTTAATACAATTAAGCACACTTCTTTTTCACAAGGGTAGTTCTGTTGCTATGTTCTGATTGGCTGAGCTGCATTGCAAGAGCACCAATTGAGAGTATAACAGCACTGGGACGTTTCACAGTTTGTATTACTCCGCCGTTCACAATGTTTCAGCCTATATATGTGGCCCTTTCTCACTTTTTAGGAAATGAAAAATCCATAGTGGAGCTGGACTAGAGTGTTTACAAAATGCTTTAAGCATGAAGGGAAATCTCTGATGTTCAGCCGTACTGTTACCTGAACTATTCTTTTTTACTTAAAGGAATAGTTCACCCAAAATGAAAATGTGCTGAAAATGTACTCACTCTTAGGGCATCCAAGATGTAGATGAGTTTATTTCTTCATGGGAACAGATTTGGAGAAATGTAGCATTTCAGAACTTGTTCACCAATGGATGCTCTGCAGTGAATGGGTGCCGTCAGAACGAGAGTCCAAACAGCTGATAAAAACATCACAATAATCCACACCACTCCAGTCCAGCAGTTAATGTCTTGTGAAACGAAAAACTTTGTGTTTGTAAGAAACAAATCCATCAATACATTTTTTACTTCAAACCGTTGCTTCCAGCTAAAATATGAGTCCTCTATCCAAATTTGCTTTCTCCAGAGAGCACTATTGTATTATTCTGACAAAAATGCAAAAAAGACCAAAAAGGAGCATTTTCCTTAAACTACTGCACACACAACAGCACAAATAGCCTTAGATTGATTTTTTTATTATTGCATGTTTTGATGAAAAATTAATCACTAATTTGTGAATTATAGAGCTAGTTCACCCAAAAATGAAAATTCTGTCATCATTTACCCACCCTGGTGTCGAACCAAACCTGTATGACTTACTTTCTTCGGTGGAACATAAAAGAAAATATTTTGAGAAATGTATCAAGTGTTTTGTTTTTGTCCATACAATGAAAGTCAATGGTCTCCAACGGTTACAAACATTCTTCAAAATATCTTCTTTTGTGATAGAATTTTTGGGTGAACTATCCCTTTAAGAATCAATCAACACTCATCACACAAAAGTAAACTTGTATAGCAGACTATTAAAGTTTTCTAGTTAACTTTTGCTGTGGATATAAGACATAATTTGGAATGACAACGGTTAACCAAACAGACAACTCATCAGTAAATCACAGATTCATTTATTTCTGTTGACTGATGGTAATGTAATCAATATGTCAGCATGTAGTCCATGAAAAAGTAACTTTACTCTGATAACTTGTTTGTTTTTTAATTGTACTCTAATTACAAGTACTTGGTTTTTGTAATCAGATTATGTAATAGCACTGGTTATATAAAGACTGTTTATTTCCTGTAGTTATTGTCCAAGTAATCACGTTGTGGTAATTCTGTCTTTAATCTGTTTGCACTGACTGTAGCAATACTTCTGAATTCATAGAGACTGATCATTTGTCTTTGATGATTCATGTACGTGTGGGAATATTTGCAGAAACATAATAGGTCTTTTAGCGATAAACGAATATATATTTAAACAACAACAACAACAGCACAGGCTTGCCTGTAGTAGTAATTTAATGTGATTGTATTTTTGATAGTTGTTTTTTGGATGGATGTTTTTAAAAAGAGGTTTGTAACTGGTTGTTATAGAATATAATACATGTGTACTGAATTTTTTTAGTGAAATTTCAGATCTTCCTCCTAAAACAATTCATTTTAATAGTTGTAATTGGAAAATACAATGTTCATAGAATTGAAAAAGTTATATAGGGAATATTTAGGGTTATTTGTTATTTATGTAGATTTAGACCTGTTTGTTATTAAGTATGAGAGTACACAAAATTAAATATTTACTGTCTATATTTAACTACGATTTGCCTAGTTTTATAAATTCTAGTTGAAGTGTTTTTAATATTTCTATATTACATAGAAATGGATATGGTGTGAGTAGTGTTGTTAGACTGGAGGGAAATCAATGAGTCTAGCAATAATGTCTACTCTATACTCTGTATGGTTGTAAATTTCACTATTGATAACAATTGGTATGTTGGCATGTATATAGATAAGCAGTCTGTGACTTCTGTCCTGTGATATTCAACTAATTTTGTAAAGAGTGAAAACACTGAGATGATATTTGCTGAATGGTTAGTGCAATCACAAAACAGTGATGTCACTAAATAATAATTATGGTGGAGAGGGAAAAATCAAATTCTTCATGGCTTTTCCATAAAGGTGTGCTGTACAAAAAAACCCCACAAAAAATCTGTTCTTGTGTGCAATAAAATGTGCAATAATAAGAATGAGAGGTTCTGTCCAGTGTTATTTTAGCATAATTGAGCTGCTATTATAGGTTTTTATTAATAGTTTAAATTAGTTTTTAATTTTTATATTTCAGTATTCATTTTAATTTGAATAATTGTGTTGTGTTTTGTCATGTTTTACTAGTTTTTAATGTCTATATAGTTTTTATTAACTTCTATTTCAGTTTTAGTTTGTCATGTCAGTGCATGCATAAAGTTAAACTAAAATGGGAAATGTTTCCTTGGCATCTAACTGTTGTTTTAATACTTTATTTCAGTTTTTATGGTTTTAACTAAACCCATTCTAAAATTATTTTAGTCTTAAAAAGTTATGATAGTGGAAATCTTGTGTTCTTTAGAGGGGACCTATTATGCAAAATTCACTTTTGTATTGTTTTTGAACATAATTATGTGTTGGCGGTGTGTGTATACAACCACACTGTTGTAGTAAATATTCATCCACTCCATTTGTTATTTTCCCCATAAATCAGAAACATGTCTCAAAATGAGCCGTTCAGGAATGTTCTCCAATGTGATGTCATTTTGAATAGGCCCGGCCCACGACTGGTAACGATCTCTTCCTTATTAGCTTAGCTCCTCCCCTGAGTGAGCTGTACACAGTCCACCATGTTTATCTCCTCGCTAGATCATTTTAAACCAGCATTCAAGTACGAAATTCATTCTTATAAGCTACTAACATTATTCAGTCAAGAGCAGTAAGTGATTTTCTTTTTGTTTTGCTGTGATTAAAATTCACAGCATAGACAGCAGTAGGTATATTACGCTGCTGTCACACAGATCTAATACACACATGCAATTTCTTTCCCAGCTGTTTACGTTCACAGACATAACAGACTGTGTTTATGTGAACTTTGTGTGTTTTGACATATCCTTGTGTGTATTTGACAGTTTAAGTGCAATAAGACGCGAAAGAGAACGTAGTTTAGTACTCATGTGACGTGCTATCTAAAGGGGCGGTCACACTGCACTTTTTGTTCCGTTGACTTCCATTCATATGCATGCGAATGCGCCAGACCGGAAACGCAAGCTTGTGCGAAAGTTTCGCATTTCGCTGCGTTCCAAACTTCAAGCTTGGTGAACTCTGACCTGTGAATTCGCATCATGTGAAACCACGTGACCAACAGCAGATGGATACGTCACAGCATGACCTCGTAGCTGAATTAAAATAACATAAATTTAAAACTGCAGTGCGGCAGGAAAGTGGAGTAGATTGTATGTTTTTACATTTTAGATGTATTATTATTTGTTATGTGTTGAATTTAAGTTTTTAAAAAGACGCTGCACAGCGTGATGTGCAATCACAAAACAGTGATGTCACTAAATAATAATTATGGTGGAGAGGGAAAAATCAAATTCTTCATGGCTTTTCCATAAAGGTGTGCTGTACAAAAAAACCCCACAAAAAATCTGTTCTTGTGTGCAATAAAATGTGCAATAATAAGAATGAGAGGTTCTGTCCAGTGTTATTTTAGCATAATTGAGCTGCTATTATAGGTTTTTATTAATAGTTTAAATTAGTTTTTAATTTTTATATTTCAGTATTCATTTTAATTTGAATAATTGTGTTGTGTTTTGTCATGTTTTACTAGTTTTTAATGTCTATATAGTTTTTATTAACTTCTATTTCAGTTTTAGTTTGTCATGTCAGTGCATGCATAAAGTTAAACTAAAATGGGAAATGTTTCCTTGGCATCTAACTGTTGTTTTAATACTTTATTTCAGTTTTTATGGTTTTAACTAAACCCATTCTAAAATTATTTTAGTCTTAAAAAGTTATGATAGTGGAAATCTTGTGTTCTTTAGAGGGGACCTATTATGCAAAATTCACTTTTGTATTGTTTTTGAACATAATTATGTGTTGGCGGTGTGTGTATACAACCACACTGTTGTAGTAAATATTCATCCACTCCATTTGTTATTTTCCCCATAAATCAGAAACATGTCTCAAAATGAGCCGTTCAGGAATGTTCTCCAATGTGATGTCATTTTGAATAGGCCCGGCCCACGACTGGTAACGATCTCTTCCTTATTAGCTTAGCTCCTCCCCTGAGTGAGCTGTACACAGTCCACCATGTTTATCTCCTCGCTAGATCATTTTAAACCAGCATTCAAGTACGAAATTCATTCTTATAAGCTACTAACATTATTCAGTCAAGAGCAGTAAGTGATTTTCTTTTTGTTTTGCTGTGATTAAAATTCACA